GCAACCACATGTGACGACCCCGGGCTGGATTCTGCTTCGTCCACGGTGAAAGTTGAAGTATTTCCTCAGCGACCAGCACAGATCAACTTTAGGCATGACGAAGCAGATATCGTCCTCTTTTGGAAGACCAAACAAAGTAGTTTTGCTTTCACAACGAAGCACACAGCGTCTTCACGACATGGCTGCAGCGTCAACAAAACTACAGTGAGACTAAAAGTTACGCCTTCTTTCTTTGCGTGAACATTTGGGCGGCGTTATGCAAATCTTCCCACATCGTGACGTAGATATGTAGGGGCGTGTTAGAACGAGCCGTTTTAGGTAGATGTGGCTGACTCTGAAATTTTATAAAGAATATCTCTTTGGATTTGAGACTTTAGTCTTTGCAACTTTACAGATCTTCTTTATGCACCAAGAGCTTGTATCACTTCAAAGAGAAAGGAAAAATTTAAATCACATCATATGACCCCTTTAATTTATTCCAGTGATCAAAACTGAATTTTCAGCATCATTACTCCAGTCTTCAGTGTCACATGATCCTTCAGAAATCATTCTAATATGCTGATTTGCTGCTCAAGAAACATTTCTGATTATTATCAATGTTGAAAACAGTTCATGTTTTTGTGGAAACTGTCATGCATTTTCCTTTTCAGAATTCTTCGATGTAGAGCAAGTTCAAAAGAACAGCATTTCTTTCAAATAGAAATATTTTGTAACAATAACACTTTTGATCAATTTGATTCGTCCCTGCTAAATAAAAGCATTCATTTCTTTCAACAGTTGTGATGGTAGTGTATGAAGTTCATGACAGTAGAGCGCTATGCATGCAACAGAGTTGATTTCACCTCGGAATATTATCACTGTCTTTCTCTCTTTTGCACCTCAAGTAACAGCTCGTCTCGTGGAGTAAATTAGCACTGCGACTGCAAACAGACTTCAAATTAAACTCAAGCTGGAGATCAGCACTGGCGGCTGAAGGGAAGACACTTGGGACGAGCGTCCCCTGCGACTCATTCTCAGCAGCACTTTACATTAATTAAAGCTGTTCTTTGCTGAGCTCCGGAGGTAATTAACCTTGGCCCTTTTTCTGGTGGGACGGGGCGGCTCAGTAGGGATCGCCGGCGTCTCTGTCGCTCCAGAGCAAACAGCCTTTGATTTGCACACACCGAAATAACATCAACCACCTTGCTGTCGCGAACAGGGTGGCAAATGGCTTTTAAAGACTACAATTGCATTGTATTGCATTGTCAATTGCATTGAAATTCAGCAATTGTCCTGTCGAGTTAAATGGAGAACGAAAGAACAAGATCACATCTGCTGTCACTGTCTTTTCAGGCCAGTTAGATGCTCAGACAGGTCTACTTTCAAGATTTCACAGGGTTTTGTGCTGGTTTGGCCATTAGGCTATAAGTCAAGTCATTTATTTATATAGCGCTTTTAACAATACAGATTGTGTCAAAGCAACTGAACAGCATTAATTAGGAAAGTAGTGTGTCAATAATGCAAAATGACAATAGTAAACACTCAATATTCAGTTATAGGCAGTTCATCATTGAATTCAGTGATGTCAACATCCAGCTCAGTTCAGTTTAAATAGTATCTGTGCAATCAAGTCGACGATATCGCTGGAAATGAAGTGTCCCCAACTAAGCAAGCCAGAGGCGACAGCGGCAAGGAACCAGAACTCCATCGGTGACAGAATGGAGAAAAAAACCTCGGGAGAAACCAGGCTCAGTCGGGGGGCCAGTTCTCCTCTGACCAGACGAAACCAGCAGTTTAATTCCAGGCTGCAGCAAAGTCAGATTGTGCAGAGGACTCAACTGGTTCCTGTGGTCTTGTCCACATATAAACAGTTTTAGCCCTATGGTATCATATTTGATTTGCTATTTTTTAATAATATAAATTATCAACATGATCAAAACTTGCTGTTGTTCAAGTCTGATTCATATTTTTGACTTTATTATCAAGTAAAAAGTATTTTAGTCTAATTGCACAAACGTCTACCTTCAGCTGCTGCTTCACCGTTTTTTTTGCTGTCAAATCTTTACTGATTTTTAGTAAGAGGTAAGAATAACTGATATTGTTAGTGATGTTTCAAGATGAACATTTACTGGACTGTTAACTGCTATTTTAGTACCTTTGATATAGTATTAGTTTTTGTCAATATTTTGAATTTGATTTGATTTTTATATTTTCATTTTCATTTTAAAGTTATTTTGTTGTGTTTTGTCATTTTTATTATTATTTTATTATATGTCTACAATATGTTGTTTTTTATTAAGTTTTAGTTTATTTAATATTTTGAGTTAGATTTAATGTTTTATAGTTTGTTTTCATTTTAATTTTAGTTAAAGTTTTATGAACTTTATTTATTTTCTATATTGTTTTTATTAAGTTTTAGGTTTAGTTCATTTTGTTAATTTTATTGAACATATCTTTTCAATTAATGACATTTGTATGATTTAAGTTTTAGCAATAATAACACTGATTTCAATTGAGTGAATCATCATCATCATCTTTATTTATTTAAAATAATATTAATTGAATCATGTTCAAATATGATCATCAGGCTTTTGAGGAGTGTTTATTTCTTCATCTCTCAATCATCATTGGATTGCATTGCATTATATGTTTGGATCATCTCATCTCATCTTACTAAGACATATTATTACAGAGGGATGACTGATATTTATATAATTTTATGGAAATATCTGCTCTACCGTTACAAAGATCTCATTAATTTACATTACAAGCATCAGAATTTCCTCATAGAATTATCAGCATCTGCAGCAAATTACATATTTCTGCTCAGTTTAAGTCTTTGAATAAAACTGATCTGTATTTTCCTCACTATATCAGACTATATGAGCCATAAAACCCTGATGGATCAAATATGATACTCAACACAAAACACATTTGAAACCTTATTGCTTAAGATTTGTTTTTATATTGTGTCTAAAGGTTCAATAAACTGTTCCATTAAAAAAAGTAATTATTTCTTACGTCAGGTTTTACAGGTTTAAAGAAACATGCTTTTTTAACAGGCAAATACAAAAATAAGCACCTCGTCTCCAGCTTTTATTGACTATCAGACAAACGCTGCAAACGCAAACTAATCTGCAAACGCAGACCATTCCTGCTTTACAACCCGATTGTTCCTCCAAATCTACAATCAATACCATGCAAACATGAACGTCTCGTGTGTCTGGCATGTCTAGTGTGGGCGGTGGACCGTCCTCTGCCTGTCTCTGAGATGGCACTGAGAAAACAGAGTTGCAATCTGCGTGACAGTGAGGTGTCATGTTGAACCGGCAGCTAAAGAACCTGATGATCCTCCTCATCCATTGCTGACCCCTCTGGACTCAATGTGCCTAATCAATCAGCCGTCACGCATTATCATCCTGTGACCTGATCTCCAGTTTACCCGTGGACCCTTGTGCTCCGAGAGATATAAATAAACCGGCTCCACTGTAGCGTCGGACTGCATCTCGTGAGTTATTGTTGCTATGTTAATGAAACGGTGCAGAATGTTATGGAGGTTTGGTTTTCTTTCTGCAGAATAAGAAAACTCAAAGGCTGTGTTCCAAAAACAAGTGCACTTCCTTGTTGTCCGCCTCTTACGCAGGCCGCTGCCTTATAAGATGTCCTAACTGAAACATATACTTACAGTTAGGTCCATATATATTTGGACACTGACAAAATGTTCATAATTTTGGCTCTGTATGCCACCAGAACAGAATTAAAATGAAATAATCAAGACTTGAAGCTTTACTTCAAGGGGTTGAACAAAAATATAACAAGGAATTACAACCATTTTTATACACAGTCCCCTCATTTTCAGAGGCTCAAATGTAATATTTATTTTTAATATTTTGATGAGAATCCTTTGCAGGCAATGAATGCCTTAAGTCTGGACTCATGTGAGAACTTTGTGATGCTTTGCCAGGCCTTTACTGCAGCTGACTTCAGTTGTTGTTTGTGGGTCTTTCTGCCTTTAGTTTTGTCTTCAGCGAGTGAAATTCATGCTCAATTGGGTTGAGATCAGGAGATTGACTCAGCCATATAACTATAACTTGAATATGTTTTGGTCAGCAGCTAAAATATATATGGACCTGGCTGTACTAAAATAGTAGTACAGGAGTCGTCACATGTGGTTGCCGCAAACCCACCGGACGCTCCTTCGCTCCTTCGTCTCCTTCGTCTCAAGCCCGCCCGCCTCCGCTCACTCTAGCCCGCCGTGTGTTTCGTTGTGAAAGCCAAAGAACTTTTTTTTTTGTTTGGTCTTCCAAAAGAGGACATGACTAGAAATCAGTGGTTAATATCTATATTTTTCAGTGTAGAATGAATTAGTATATTTGTTTGTATATTAAATAACTTAAGTATATTAACTATTAGAATCCGTGTATCATTCGATCATTCGTTTAAACAAAAAAATAGTTACCATTCTCTGCCATTAAATTGGCAAGCGCGAGCAGGAAATTTTTGTGTTATTAAGTAATAAGCCTTTAGAACAACATTAAGGTGAGTAGTCACTCAGTAGTTCATACATGTTTACAAATTTAAGTACTAATTTATTTATTTATTTAAACCTATTCTGTAACACTTTACTTAAAGACTTTGTATAATACATTATAAAAGTATTTTTAATGCATTAATTTCGCTTTGTAATGCACCTTATAATGCGTTGTATGATCTCATGAATAACTGTAACCATTATACATTATAACACTTTTTTTTCATTGTTAGACTTTTAGAAAGTGTAATGCATTAAAACACACAACAAAAAAACCTTCAAACATTCTAATGAATTTTTGGTCACATTTATTTATGAAATCATATAATGCATTGCAGCATGCATTGTTAATACATTTACAATGCATTACACACAAAGGCTTTAAGTGTTACTGTATATTCTTTTAAATCCAGTACAGTTTCCTCACGTGACTGAGGTGTGAGCGGCCTCCTGATGGAAGCAGGTAAATGTGAGCATCAGGTACTCACGCTTTCTCCAGACAGGACTCTCGGCCCATGTTCTGAGCGAGCAGGTTAGACGCCAGACTGAAGAGCTCATCTGCCCACTCCTTCATCAGCGACAGCGCACAAACACAGACATTTCAATAAAACGATCCAGGTCAAGCATCCTGACTGGGATTTACGTTGCACAAATATTTCACTGCCACAAATAAACTCTTAAAAATAGAGGTGCATAACAGCGAAGCCATAGAAGAACCATTTTTGGTTCCACAAAGAACTTTAAAGAACCATCTCTTTCTTACTTTTTATAATCTGAAGAGCCTTCTTTCGCCACAAAGAAGCTTTTGTGAAACAGAAAGGTTGTTCAGATGTTGAAGGTTCTTTGTGGAACCATTTATAGACAAGAAAGGTTCTTCTATGGCATCGTGATTATCTGCTGATCTAATCACACGCACCTTGGCGACGTCTTCTTGGAAGGCCATGAAGTTCAGGTACTGGATGTTGACCATGTCTGGCCCCGTCACCACCGTCAGCATCCGGTTCTCTATCCGGCCCACCAGATTCCCCACATCCAGCAGCTCCCGCAGCTTCGCCTCCTGAGGGAGAACCGCAGTAATGAAGCCCGCTGTCATAAAACACGGCAGAATAAGACCGCTTCATCTGTGCGCTAAAATCTCCAGCTGAGCTGCTCTACACCTGCTCGTGATGATGAAGAAACATTCAATACATCAGCCCAATATCACACAAGAGAAACTATTCATATCTACATATTTTTTGCTTTTATTGAAATTACTTCAGGACCAACACTTTACACGGAAATGAAATGTATTAATATACATTATTAATACATACATTAATATACATCATATACATTTAGACATTTAGCGGACGCTTTTAATCTAAAGCGACTTACAAATGAGGACAATGGAAGCAATCAAAACCAACAAAAGAGCAATGATTTGTAAGTGCTATGACAAGTCTCAGTTAGCTTAACGCAGTACACGTAGCAAGGTTTTTTTTTTATTATATAATAAATCAAAGAAAAACTGATAGAATAGAAAAAGATTAGAAAAGCTAGTGTTAGGGTGTTGTTGTTTTTTAAGAAAAGAGAGGGCTAGAGTTAGAGGGCCAAATAAAGATGGAGCAGAATAAGACCGCTTCATCTGTGCGCTAAAATCTCCAGCTGAGCTGCTCTACACCTGCTCGTGATGATGAAGAAACATTCAATACATCAGCCCAATATCACACAAGAGAAACTATTCATATCTACATATTTTTTGCTTTTATTGAAATTACTTCAGGACCAACACTTTACACGGAAATGAAATGTATTAATATACATTATTAATACATACATTAATATACATCATATACATTTAGACATTTAGCGGACGCTTTTAATCTAAAGCGACTTACAAATGAGGACAATGGAAGCAATCAAAACCAACAAAAGAGCAATGATTTGTAAGTGCTATGACAAGTCTCAGTTAGCTTAACGCAGTACACGTAGCAAGGTTTTTTTTTTATTATATAATAAATCAAAGAAAAACTGATAGAATAGAAAAAGATTAGAAAAGCTAGTGTTTTAATATAATTAATGATATAATAATAATGATGATAATAATAATAATAATAATAATAATATATATATTTATATTTAGTTTTTTATATAAATATAAAAATAAACATACATTTATATTTAAATATCATTTATATTTAGTTTTAATATAATAAATTAACAATCAAACAATGGACAGATAGATGGAGAAACAGATTAGACAGACAGACAGAAGGACGGACAGACAGAGAGATAGATGGACAGACGGACGGACGGACAGACGGATGGACGTACGGATAGAGGGATAG